AATTACCTGGTCATCTGGAGCGGACCTTTCGCTAACACGCTTTATGTATTTGTCGTATTCATTTTTCCGAATCGTCGTATAGCGAAGCACCAGCCGAGTAAAATCGAGCGGGGAAATTTCATTACGTCCGTGGGAAAATTCATAGAATTCCAATTCCGCTATTTCTCGTTGCAGATTTTCGCGAAATCTGGAAACAATTCCTCATTATTAAGAAAAAAATCATATTCTGTGACAGGATACAAGCATCTATGACGTGTTTGTCAAACTTAAATTGCCTTATCAATCTGATTAATAAATCCTAAAATGCACCCACACTACTTGGGAGTGAACTGCAAAATTCAGGGACAAAAAGACTTTTCTTGCTTTCCGAAGTACAAATACTAGTAAGCTTCACAATCCACGTTCAGAATATATTTTAATTAAAATTAGCCAGCTATATCTTTTTGCAAATATGCAATATCAAGAATACCAAGGCCATTCGGACTGATACTGTGGGTATCCCATGTTAGTGCTGTAAATGCAATGTCCCGACATTTGGTCGTAGCTGTGCTAGGTCTTTCGATTCTGGGCTTGATACCTTCAGCTGGTACCTAGCTATGCATGAAGAAATGCAAATTTATGCAAACATGCAACGCATAATTTATACTAGATGCTATTCATTAGACTTAAGTAGCATCATTAGCACTTTTTTATGAAAAAAATCGAGTTTAAGAGTACATAAAAATTTAAAAGAAAAAGCGAAATTTTTTTTTCTTTTCTATTCTTTCTCTTAATTTTTATACACTCTTTTCCCTTAATTTTTCGACTTCGACTGGATCACAGTGCATTTCGAGCTAAACATTCCGAACCCAATATTTTTCCAGACCAATTAAAGGCGATGTAGCATTGAACAGAGCAATTCGGCAACTAGTTAGGTGCATAACTGAAGAACCAGACTACAAATAATAGCTGATCAAAATCAGCTGAATATTTTTTGCAAAAATCACTCCACACGCATAGTAATCATCCAGTCTTATACTTTCGAAACAGGCAAATTAGGCCCGATTTACGCGTGAAACTTTAACATAACATTCACAACTTTTGGGATTATTTGCAAATATAAAGATTAATTTTACCCATTTTAATAATCCTCGAAGATATCTAGAATTAGAAAACTACATCTACAACACAAATATTTTTCGCATAAATTTCTGAAAAATCGCATCATGCAATTAGAAAACTACACCATCGTATTTGCGCAAAAGAATAACAGCGAGATCCATCCAAAAAAATGGCAAGAAAACGCAAAATTTACCTTTCGAATTCGTCAAAACTCCGTGATTCTTTTCCATCACGGCCAAATAAATACAGAACAAGTGTTGTATCCTGAAGCCTCACTTCCTCATCCGACTTCTACAACATTCATCCTGGCATTATTCCATCCCTAACTCATTCACTAGGACAAAAAACGACCTACGGAAGCGGATCAAATCAAGGTGCATGCAAACAGCAATAATACGCTGACAAACCTTAAGATGGTTCCCCTTCCCAAGGATTGCTAAAAAATAAAATAACGGAGATTCAGCCTTATTGGTATTTGTCAGTACCAATTTACCATTGAAATGAATGGGGAAAATGCCAGTAATAATTCGATTTTCGTGCTCGTGACATCGAAATTGATCAACTCTTAGCTCATCAGTGAAGCTACTTAAAACTATACTAAATCAAAAAAATTATAAATTATGCAAAAGTATAAATGACAATTAAAAGCAACAACTGGAATTCCTAAAGATATCAGAAGTTCGAAAACTGCATAATGTACAGCGGAAACCTGTTTGAGTCAAATTTCAAACTGCACTCACAAAATTTTTGAGTTAAATTTCAATTTTAAAGAAGGAAAAGTGGGAATTGAAATTCGTATGGTTTTAAGAACAAACAAATCCGGCATGCAATAATAAAATATCAAAAATTGGCCAACGCACGGGCTGCCCGTGCGAAGATGCGTTTTTTGCAGAGTTCCCCGC